TTATGTTCCCTGCTCCCAGGAAGAGACTTGCCCTTGAAAGTCTTCAGCACATCACCACAGGAGCATCTGTCAGGCTGAGCATCTTTCTGCATTCTCCTGTTTTGCAGTAGACTACACACACCAAGTTACTTGTGAGGCACATAACAGCCTTATTCAGGCATGTTCCAACCTAAATAAATAACACTCGTCTGAAATAACTGGTAATTTGCCTAAGAGCAAAAATCCCTCATTGGAGTGTGGCCCAAATTAAAATGTTTGTTGCAGAAACAAATTTCTTACAGTCATATTGCAAACAAATATATATGCACAATAGGAGACAGAAAAAAGTCCTTGAGCTGGGCTCTACGATGTTTCCAATCCCACACTGCTGGGACAGGGCAGCACTGTCAGCCTTTTGTAGTCAGAATAACACAGTTAACGCTAAGTTCTGGGAAGTAGACAATACTAGAGAGTCTGTGTCACAACTTTACACGTCAACTTCCAGAAAGCACATTGAAACCATTTATCCAGCATCTTATAAAAGCACCATTGAAAGGTTGAACAGAGAGCACCGCTTATATAGAATTGTGATCAACACAGCGGACAGGAGCTGTTCAGGGAGCTATGGAGACGCACGAAGCCCAGAAGAATCCCTGCAGGATGGATTCCCTGAAGGCATGATAGACAAGGGCTTAGAGAACAAGGCAGCTGGTCCTCAGCCAGTTGCTGCTGTGGGGATGGTCCACCTCTGGGTGACTCATGAATATGAATCCCCGCACCTACTCATCCCTCACCCCATGAATCCTGCTACACGTAAGCAAGCCTGCAATTGATATTAATACAACGACTGAAGCAACTAATTGTTCACAGTTGACATGGACAAAGACCACCACCTCCCTGAATGCTCACTGTTGAAAAACTTAGGTTCTTCAAAAGAAGATTGATAATTCTTATTGCAAAGCTTAGTCATCGTAGCTACATTACTGGGCTTTTTAAAGGACGTTTGTGAGAAACTTGCTATTGTAGGGCTAACTGAGGTCCAGTACAGTTAATGTGTCTCTATAAAGCTGTTTCCAGCTTAGACAAAGTGGGGGTTGCCTTTTTGTAGTTTTGTATTAAACAAACACAGTATGGAAAAGAGTATGGAAGTACTAGCTACTTAGTGAAAAAGGCACTATAACTGATCTAACTGTGGTAATTAGGTACCTGCCTGTGTTACAAATATCTGTAAAGAATCTATTTCTCTCCGTGACTGAGAAAGCAATTCTGCGCCATGGTAGAAAGGGGCAACTGGTTTAGGTATGGGGTTAGAGCTGGTTTAGGTATGGGGTTAGCACTGGTTTAGGTATGTGGTGAGAATAGGTATATGGGTAGAAAAACTCTCATAGGAGACACAGATTCATGGAAGAGACATCCAAACTGCATTTCCTATTTCTACCAGTTCCCAGAAAGAAATCAGAAAAGACCTTTACACTAGTGTAGTTATACACACATTACAGCTTGTCTTGGCCTTACTATGGCAATTTGATGTGAGATCTTATTATATAGTTGTACCAAAAAATGGAGGCAAAGAAATAGATTGTGAAGCTTCCCTAGAAAAGATCACCAGGTAACAAATACTTCAATTTAGACGTTGACATTTTATTTAGAGATATGGTGAAAGAGAAAAAATAGCAATGAAGAGACAAGTAAAAGACTCCGTTTTCTTTACAGTCAGATTAATCTGTTTGGGAATTACTGTTGGAAAAATCTTTCCATCCAATATATTAGTGAAAAGGAAGCATTGGCAACAGCCATAAAGGAACAGATCTTCTGGGAAGAGGGAACTAAAACAGAAGCTCGATTCTTTGTCAAGAGATGTAATTATTCACTTAAGAACCTTGGACTGAATTCTAAAACATTTTTCTTTAGCATTAGACTATATAATGGAGACTGTAGAGGAGTTGTGGATTCCTCCATGCGTCCTTGTTCAGGAGGGCAATTCCTATTTGGAGCTCCCAAGAGTCCAATGTGAGGGGGTCTCAATGGCTGAGGGCAGATACACATTACAAGCAGCAGTCCAGAATCTGAGCTCCTTCCCCACCAGACTGAGGGTCTGATGGATGCTGAAAAGGTTGTGTCCAGCCTGAGAGTCATTTAAATGGGAAGGAATGTGCCAGCACCACAGGACTGCAAACTCAGTACCAGTGCCCAGTGCAAGGCTCTATGAGGCAGGTTAAAAATAGAAATAAAAGAAAAAAGAGAGGGGGAGGGATTTCACTGTGGAAAAGGGACGTCTGGGGGTCTCAAGGAGCAGCTGTCACAACAGCGGAAACAAAGGAAGGAGCTGAGTCTCGCGTCCCTTCCTCTAAAACAACATTCTTGATTCTGCTCTGAAAGACCGCAAAGCACGACCAGGCAGCCCTCCTCCTTCCTTTGACTTGCTGATCTTGATGGGGGCGCTTCTACAGTGATGTTTGATTTTCTTCTTTTGCACCTTAAAATTTTACAATCAAGAGTTCAGTGTTACTCTTTGCTGTCATAAACTGGCATTATCTTTTATCTTTAAACTGGTCTTGAAATTGCATCTGGTAGCAACCTCATATTGCTACTGTTTCTCCAAAAGCAGTTATCCATGTAATGAGTAAGACAATCCTTAAGGATTGTAGATGTGTTTGGGAATTTCAGGAGTTGGGGTATGCCTGCCACTAAGTTGCAGGAGTCAGACTGAGGACTACATATATAAACCCGTACCCCTGAGCAAGGAACAGACAGCAAACACATAGTTAAAGACTTCAGAAATTCTCCAGACTTAGCACAAAAGATCTTCTGAAACATGGTGCATCTTATCTTTGGCCTTAAACAGTGTGAAGTAGAAGGAGAGAACAGTCAAAGGCGAACTTAATGAATTCACATTCAAGGGAACAGAAACAGAAACTTTTTTTGAGGGAAAAATTCCAGAAAGGAAGACCGAAGTCAGCTTTAAAAAGCACTGCAATGAAGTGGAAGCAAAGGGTTTGCTGCAGCTATGGAAGCATGGCAGCATGGTCAAGAACATGAAGGATGTAGACTGATCTGAACTGCTTTTCCTTGAAAGAAGAGAGTCACAGATCAAGTGTGCTGCGCTGTCGCATGAGGTCAGGATCCACAAAGTCTGAATCACCCTGCGGGCAGAGTTTGACGGCACACTTGCACTGCTCAGAGCCGTACTACTTACAGGCGAAGCCCATAAATTAGTACACTTCCTTCAGTTATGAAGTAATTTCTAATAAATGTGTGTAACCAGATCTGTATTTGCACTTTATCGTACCAAGTAATGTCGAGCGCCGGCCAGTGATCTGAGAAGGACTCAGTCCAATATATCAAAACCCAGCACCAACTGAACTGAAACTAAACCCCTTCTAGGCTACTATGGAATAAGCCAGCCTCAGTTTATGTACTGTTTATTTCGAATTGAAAATAAACTACTCTTCAAGCACATGCCAAATATTACGTATGTGAATGTTATTTGAATGCTACCAAGTTCGGACCATAGTTTATACTTGTGTCCAAATTACATGTGTATGCTTATATACATGGGGATATATGCAGGTGTGTACACATAACTGTGTACAAATGCATATCACACAATGCCAGTTCGCTACTGTTGGGCTATTCTTGTACTATTGTACTATTCATTGTACTATTCTTGAAGAAAACAGAAGTATCAACCCGGTACCTACTTATTTCATCTAAGCACTGTACTTTGTTTTTAACAGTAACAGAATAACTTAGTATCTTGGAAAGATGGTGGCTTTCAAACTGCTTGTCAGAGCCCCAAGAAGTTCTTGGTTGCCCCCCCTGCTCCTTTTAGCAGAGGAACAAGGAGGGCCAGTGGCTATCCCAGACTAAATCCCACTCTCTCTGCCTCTTTTTTGCCCTTTGGCAGTGTTCTTTTACACAGACTCCATGACTTTGAGCTTAAAAACAGCAAGGCATGTTCCACATCCCTGCTCAAGAAGACCAAAGAAACCCCGAAGTTCATTTACATACTTCTAAAATAGGAAAAAAAAAATAAAGGAAAACCAAATAAAGCCCAATCAAAGAATGAGATTCCTCCTGTTACATAAACCAGAAAGTTAATCTACAAAAACTTTGAAGATGAAAAATATGTTGTAAGAATAAAAAATATCCACGCAACACAGTACATAAACTTTCCTATATAATAAACTAGACAAACATATTAAAATATTTTAAGTCTTAAAAAAGGGCAAAATTCTTCAAAAGATGACTCAACACTATTAAGGTTAGACTAAACATTATGCCAACACATCCATTTGCGCAACATGACAATTGTCTGGTGTGTGTATGCATAGGTATATCTGTGCACACGAGGGGAACAGAGCATGAACGCTAAGGATGTGACTTGCCATTTTAAAGCAGTATTTCACAAATAATCGAACAAAAACCCTACAAATACCAGTACACATCTCAAATATTGCAAGTCACATTCTACAGCACTTGCCATTAAAAAAGAAAAAAAAGCCAACAGAATTAATTCAAGTACATTTGGAGTAGGTCCCTTGTGAAATGAAGTACTGTTGTTTGCACTTTAGTTGCAATGAACGTGGACAGAGCTCCCCAAAAGACACAGAAGTGAGCCCTGCAACGTAAGTCTGAGTTGAGGCACGATGATCCGTGATTTGCTCAACAAAGTGGATGCCCAAACTTGAATGAAAAATGATGCTTGAAAAACACTTTGAAGCAAATGACATAAAACAGTCTTTTAAAACGAAAAGCTAGCTTTGTGTAAAGGCAGTCTTTTTGGTATGTAATCCTATCGGGACGACAAGCCCGCAGTCCTTCCCAAATTCTGGTTGTCGTGGAGCTAACAATAAAGAAGCCTTTATGTTGTCCTGGTCGTCATTCTGACCTGACGTACCCTTTCCTGTGAGCTTCCACCCACCACCCAGAATAACCTAGTAGCTATCACACCCCGGCTGAAATGTACGCTGCTTCTTCACAACTTTTGTTCTCTACTTAGCTTTGTTCCTCAAAAGGAGAAGCACTTCCCTCTCCACATTTCACATGTTCCTTTGAAAATAACCAGCGGATCAGATAAATGCTGAAATCTGCCTGCCAGAGTAGTTAAAGTCTGGTGAAATCCCTGTGGTGCTGCAAGTCCCCTATGCTCTCATAGTCATTCTCTCCCGAAAGAGCAGTGTGGTTTGTGTTAGGCACAGACAAGGTCCTGTCTTCTTCTTGGCTCACTGACTGGATAGCTTCATAGTCAGGCTCCAGCTCCCCGTTTGGTCTGTCCGCTGACTGAGGCACAGTGGTAATATTTAGGGTGTTTTCGAAGTCCTTCACACTTGCGTAGAGGCCACTGCAAATAGATGGGGACCTCTGAGATGCAATTTCTTGAATACAGGTGTAAGGAGAATCCAGTGCCTTGATGGCCTGTCCCGGCTTACTCACCGTCGAGTACATGGCTGAGATCTAGGAAAAGGAGACACCTGCTGAGTATTTAAGCACGGCATAAAGCTTGTGTGCCAGTTTGTACCCCTTCCATCACAAGGATGTCGGTTACTTAAGAAAAGACAGGATCTTCTAATAAAAACATATCCTTTCTTACAAAAAAAAGGATTTCTTACAAATCCTTTCTTTTTTTGGCATGCATTTATAAATTGATTTTCTTTCAAAAAAGAATGCTTTATAAAATGCCTTACGAAAGAAGTTTATAAATGTAAAAATTCTTTGAACATAAATCCCCTGCGGGCAAATTAGGCCCAGGACAAAAGGGAATGGCTTTGTGAGCAGCTCTTCCAAGTTCTGCTACGGTCCTGGAGCCAGCTTGGGCTCAATGGGGAGACAGGCATCAAAGGGATGATCAGGTTTAGCTGCTGTAATGTAGGAGAAGGATGCTGTCTGATCCTTGGGGTTATTATTTTTAATGGTAGCAGCTACTTTTCTGCTTTTAGAGACACCCCAATAGGAGAGTAGTAGTTTGTTGTGTTTATAGGCAGGACCAACGAGGCACCAAGTCATGTGAAGAGAACATTAAAAATCAGGAGATAAATTACCCACACCAGAAAATAGCAAATAGTCAGTGCCAATCTTGATACGCAAGGTCTGTTCTGTTGACTAAACTCTGCGTGCAAAAAGGAGCTGCATCTCAGTCACTGCGTATCAGAACTTAAGACTAGAGACTGAAACCCCTCAGCTACTTTAAACACAAGAGAGGGAGCCGGAGTCTCACTCCTAGCTCTAAAAATCCCCTCTGAGGAGGTGGTATGCTTAAACAAGTGGACGAAGGTGGCCCTTAACGAAGAGGTGAAGGAGAAGCCCATGTCCACACATGTCCCTCCGCCCAGGGCTCGCCGGAGCTGGCGCCAAGCGCAGGGAGCCACTCTGGACTCCCTCTCCCAGTCCAAGTGGATACTACCCCTTGCACAGGTCAGACGGCTGAAATTCCCTGCACTGCTTCTCTGGTACCTAATAGCACAATTGCAACATAGCTCTTTTGTTACATTTAAAGTCTTTCCCAGGCATGCAAGGCCACTCTGGATTCGTATCAATCCAATTAAAATAGTAGATTGGCATGAAAATGTCCATTACCATTAAGCAACGCTGACTGATGCAGATGAACCAGATCGCTTCTGTTAATTCTGTATTTTTTAAGTTTTTTTTATAAAGAGAGACATCCAATTGCAGATGGCAATACTTCTTACTTTTTACTGATTTCAGCCAACCAAACAAAAAAAGGCTTTTCTGCTCATCCATACTTCAACCCTTTCCAGCATTAAATTACATGAACCCAGTTCAAGGATCAATTTATTCATTAATGTTTGGGAGTGCTTCTGCCAGCAGAAAGCAGTAGCTCACTCAGCTCATTGACAAGTTTGTGTTTACTTTTATGTCTGGAGAAAGTATTTATAAATTGCATGGGTGTATTGGAGATGATCACAAGCAACCTTATTTCTGTTTAACTTTTATGTCTTTGTTTCAGTCTCCTCAATTTATTTGACTAACAGACATTTTAAAGAACAGTTTATGTTCCAGTGCTTTTATTGTGCTTCCGTTTAATTCCCAGAGCCCCAAACACTTTGCATAGGGAAGGTGGAGCATGTTTCAAAAGGCTGCTGATTATTATTAAGTAGAGCTTCTCATCCAAATCAAGAAGCTGCCCTAACGATCAGCTAATTGTGGCCTCCCATTATTTTCTGACACCATTTTTTAACCTATTGGCCTGATATAGCCATATGCTAGAATACTTCTGATTTTAGGAATGTGGCAGTACAAACTCTGTGCAGACAAACTTCGGCTTTCATTTTCCCTTCAGACAAATTTCACCTTTCTTAGATCTTGCTTAATCATGCAGAGCTTATGCTAATTTCTGCCTGAAAAAAAGGTCTCTAGTTAGTTATTGAATTTTGCGCAAGAAACCTACCTCATCTTCTGTAAGAGATGGATCTTCCTCTCGAGACTTGTAAGACATCGAACTAAGCCTCTGTAAAAAAGGAAGGAAGGAAGGAAGGAAGGAAGGAAGG